AAATGTAGGAGTGCAGAAGTGATCCTGGTCAATATTTTCAGCAAACATAAAAATAAAATACATGCATTAATTTAAAATCTGTACTGCTTCTGTATAAGTTCCATTAGGAAGCAGTATAGTTAGTTGTATAAACCAATAGCATCAGATAGAATTATGCAGAGAAATGACCTGCAGGCACAGAGATGCTATGTGGTTAATATTGGAGCCATAATGCCAGACAAACTAGAATGCAGAAATAGGTCAGTAAAGAACTGCCCTAGTACTCTCAGTCTGTCACTATCAACCCCTCAGGAAGGGCTGTTCATTTATATCAAATCATATTTATATGACACCATCTCCAGTTTGACATAAATTCAAGGCAATATAACCAGTGAGCTGTGTGCTCTTCAGAACCTTGTGCTTTTATTTGCACAACATAAAACACAGCGAAGGTACAAATGTATTTACAGGATTTTTATATTATATGTAAGGGTACAGTTACAAATGTTGGCTGAAAATGTAAGTATGCATTGATTGCTCTGAGAGGTAGATTTTTCACTGATAAATGAATAGCAATTTCCCCCATAAAGAATCTATGGGAGAATAGCTAGCCAGTTATTATTCAGTAACTTTATGTTTAACTATCCCTTTGTAAATCATCAACCATTAAGGTTTCCTGTGCATTCAGCATGTAGGCATTAGTTCTGTACTTTGTCCTAAGAAAGATTACACACCTGAAGTGTAGTGTGATGAAATTCTAAATTAATTACAAATTTAAAGGGACACCATAATCACCAGAACAGCTACATCTTAAATGTTCTCTCGTGTCTGCAGCCTGTCCTTGTTAGAGATATTATATTATATATATATATATATATATATATATATATATATATATAAATAAATAATATTTTTATTTTTTTTAATTGTTGCCCAGGTGTAGGTAAGCCCTGTGCTGATGTCAGGACTCCCCTTAGTAATTCCCAGAGTTTTAAGCCAATGAATTGCCTCCTATTGCAGTCTTATACTCAGGTGTGGGATGTTGTATTTTCCACCACCATGTTCGAGCAGGTCATTACTGTAGCTTAAGGCTACCACTAGCTATTGCAGATTGTACAATGATTTAGTGCAGTTATTACTAGACAATGGTCTGTAACACACTCTGAAGTATAGGGCTAAAATAGATCCTGTTTTAAAGACTTTATAGGGTTCTCCAACATATTCTCTGATTGACAAGTTATTAATTAGCAAATATATATATACACATTGGTTTATCACTATACCCATGAATATTAGAATGTAAATAATTTAGTATATTAGAGAGTATACATACATTGGTTTATCACTATACCTATGAATATTAGAATATATTTACTTTAGTTGCTTATTTCTGGGTACATTATTTCTATTAAGGTATTCTCACTATATTTTAGAATTATCATTAAAAAAAAGTTATATTTTAGTTAGGACACTCATTTCTCTTTTTGTTTATCTCTTCAGTCCATAGGTTAACCCCTTAACGAGTGTTCCTCAAGCTTCCTTCTTCCCGTTTTTTTTTTTTTTATAATCACTTGCCACTCTCAAACCTGGGAGCTACGAGGCTAGGCTCATAGCTACCCAGGCGAACGCTCTCTGGCAGATACCGGAGTGTGGGTATCCACCAGAGAGGGACGCACGCCAGCAGGGAGTCCCTGGGGCTGTGAGTCGGTCTCAGGGCAGCAGGGTTCGCGCTGGCCGAATGGAAGTCCATGCCGGCCGCATGGAAGTCCATGCCGACCAATGGGAGAGGGAGCGCCCAATTCAAACTGGGTTCACGCCATTCTCCTGGTTGGTCAGCGCGAGTAAATTGCGGATTGGTCGCCGCAGGGAGCAGACGACCAATCCGAGAAGGAGCACTTGTTCAAACAGGTTTTTGCGCCTTTCTGATTGGGCGGCGAAACCCCTCGTCCCTGGGCGCTGATTGGCGTGAATAAGGTTTCAAGCCCTATCTTGTGATTGGGCCGCAAAACCACTCTCCTTCCCGAGCAGTGATTGGTGCAGCAGAGTTTCATGCCCTTTCTTTGGATTGGGTGGCGAAACTCCTTCCTCCCCTGAACTCTGGCGCAATTTAGTTCGTGCCCTTTCAGCTGATTGGTTGTGGCTTGGTTTAGGCGCAGTGTTTGAATTCGCCGGACTAAACCAAGCAACCCCATGGAACTCATTTCAGGGATATACAGAGCCTTGAGCCCCAGACTTTCTACGCTTATATCTCCAGCTCTGTACATCTGATCACCCCGCTTTTTGCAGAGATCATAGGGGAGACCCGGGGCTATTCATCCGTATAAGTTGTAACCCTGTACCTCATACCCACGGCGCTGAGCTCCAAAGTTCACCCCCTTGTATGTAATGTGTACTCATGCATGTCCCTGTGTCCTGTTGGTATCTCCCAGAGTGGGAGATTGTTATCTGTTCCCCAGGCCCCTCCTGCATGAGATTGTGTTGGGTTGGATGGAAACCCCCTGCTGGGGTCTGTGCATAAAAAGCTGTGTGCCCAAATAAAGATTGTCAAATGTTGTACCCTGGAACTGTGTCCCGACCAGTTACTGGGGAAATGTGTCTGACCTATCATTACCAAAGGGGATAACCAGTCGAGTTCCCCAGGTCCCGCTACAGTATGTTATTCCAGTTTTCAGTTAGTTTTATTAAGATGTTCGCTTATAATAGCTTTTTTTCCACAGCTTTGAGGATTGGTGAGTTAGTTGCTAGAAGTTAATTTTGTTTATCAGGTTTTCAGTAGGGAGGATGTTATAGTTAGCAATAACAAATTAATGATATTAGCAAATCACAAACTGATCAAAAAAGAAAAGGTGGACATGGATTAACATTCAAGGTTCAATCCTGTGCCAGGTGAAAGTGACGGAAGAATATTTATCAGTAAGACCAAGAGTGGAGGACACTTTTCTGCATGCTGATTCTATCCTGCTAAGTTTCAATTTATACAAGTTTTTAAAATATGTTTAGATAAATTAGGTTTGGACAAGGGACATTATTCATCTCATTCTTCAGAGCTGCAACTGAAGCAGAGAGGTATGGTTTAAGTGATGGAATCATTCAAAGGCTGGGTATATGGGATTCTAATAGATTTCAATTATAGGTTAGTCCTCATTTGATTGGAGTTAAAAAAAATAAAAATTATATATATATATATATTACATTTTCTTTATGTGAAAGTGGTTAACTGGTACTTATCAAAGTTTATTGGTGTTTAATAAAATTTGTATATATTAATATTTTTCTGTTAGGTAATAAGAAGCCAGAGATTGCTTGGGTTATTGGTCATTAGTTTGGGCCCAGAAGAGGGTGCAAGTGTGGACATATGGTGAAAATCTGGGTTTGAAGAACACGTCAGTTAAAGTATTTTGGAAGGGGATCAGTGGTGCCAAATGGTCACAATTATTTGAGATATTGCAACAATGTAGGTCTGAAAAAAAAATATAAAAAAAAAATATATAAAAAATTATAGATTTTGACACTGTTCCACATAGAGAGCTTATCAATAAACTGATCTTTAAAGGACCACTCTAGGCACCCAGACCACTTCAGCTTAATGAAGTGATCTGGGTGCCAGGTCCCTCTAGAGTTAACCCCCTTTTTTTTTTTTTAATAAATGGGTTAATCCAGCCCTCAAAGCCTCTAGTGGCTGTCTCATTGACAGCCGCTAGAGGCGCTTGTGTGATTCTCACTGTGAAAAATCACAATGAGAACACGCAAGCGTCCATAGGAAAGCATTATGAATGCTTTCCTATGAGAACGAATGGGAGGATCGGAGGCGGAGAGGAGGAGGAGAGCTCCCTGCCCGGCGCTGGAAAAGAGGTACGTTTTACCCCTTTCCTCTCCCCAGAGCCGGGCGGGAGTGGGACCCTGAGGGTGGGGACACCCTCAGGACACTATAGTGGTCCTTTAAGTTTGCATTCCAAGATTGTTGAATGGGTAAAGCAGTGGCTGAGTAACAGGCAACAGAGAGTTGTAGTCAATGGAGTATATTCAAAACAAGGTCTTATCAGCAGGGTACCTCAGTGATCTGGACCCATTTCTTTTAATATTTTTATTAGTGATATTGCAGAAGGTTTTGATGGTAAGTAGAGTTGAGGATGTTGGGTGTTCGGGTCCGGCCGAACTTTGAAAAAAAAAAAGTGTGGGTTCGGGCTCGATTCGGGCTTTGATTTTAGCTTTGGAAGAACATAAATCAAAATCTAAAGCATGGCTGTCAGGAGGATCACCAGAATTATCCATTTTTGAGAGGGTTAGAGTGCAGGGTATTCTCTTTCATTGTTCAAACTGAGCTCAACTCCTGATGCATGGAGAAAAGGCCTTCAAAAGCTATTGTGTACATAGCTTATACTAAGTGACCCATAGGTTGAGGAGGCGGTGAAGGCGGAAGCCGCCAACACTGTTTATATATAATTATTTTTTTTAATTTTAATTGAGGTAGCCCCCAAAATATTAGGACATCTAAAAAAAAAAAAAAAAAAAAACATTTGCGGCCTGCGGTGCATTTCTTGCAGTCCTGATGCATGGAGAAAAGGAAACAAGCCTCTGCTATGGTGTACATAGTTTATACTAAGTGACCAATAGGTTGAGGAGGCGGTGACCATGGCAGTGTAGGTGGAAGCGGCGGTGGAGGAGGTAGCAAACACGGATATAAAGATTTATATAATTTTAATTGGGGTAGCCCCCAAAATATTGGGACATACAAAAAAAGAGAAAACTGTTCCGCAGAGCAACTGACCCATGCGTGTTGCAGCTAAAACTCCACTATCGCCTGCTGCTGCTCGCACAGTCTCATGAGGCGGTGAGCAGGAAGGCTGAAGTTACGCTGCAGCGCAGACAGGCGAGCAGCAGCAGGGTGAGAACGCTATAAGCGCCACAGACGGCCCGCACTTTTGCAGCAGCTCTGATATATCTGGGTATACACTGTGGCATCACAAGGGCTACCCAGAACTGGCTCAACTCCCATCAAGCCAAGTTCCCGGAGGAGATCACCCAGCTCGTTATGCTAGAGCACTTTTTCAATGTGTCCAACGAGAAGTTGTTGTATGTCAATCCATATAAACTTCCAAAGCCATTGACTGCGCCTACCATGGTGGCCACGGGTAACGGGGAATCAGGGTTTGATTCCCTACAGGGACCCTGACAAACGGCTACCACATGCAAGGAAGGTAGCAGGCGCGCAAATGACCAACTCCCGACGCGGGAAGGTAGTGACGACAAATCACAATACAGGACTCTTTAGAGGCCCTGTAATTGTAATGCGTCCACTTGAAATCCTTTAACTCTGATCAATTGGAGGGAAGTCTGGTGCAGAGCCACTGACCCGTGCGTGCTGCAGCTGAAACTCCACTATCACCTGCTGCTAATCAAACAGTCTCCAGTATGTGCAAGGTGGAGTTCCACCTTGTGGGCACGTCACATATGAGGCAGTGAGCGGGAAGGCCAAAGTTAAGCTGCAGCGCAGGCAGGCAAATAGCAGCAGGGTGAGAACGGAGAAAGCGCGCACAGCCGCTATAGTGAATGTCACATCCTGTTCCAAGTTGCAGATCAGTCTAGTGATGGCTTCTGGTATTCAGTACTTTTTACGGGTCCTGGTATGTGGCCGCACAAACGCTGGTGCTCAACACCAAGGGGCGTGCGGTTACCCTGCACCAGGCCCTGCTAATCCATTCCATACTGTGACTCCTAACTTCTACATCAGGCATACTGGGTCCCGGTCATCCTGGTCACTGGACTGCGAAAGGCTCGTTAAATCTGTTATGGTTATTTTTAATCGCTTCAACTGCTACTTGGAGCAGGGTGCAAAAGCTGAGGGGATAGGGGACGGCGGCTCCGCTTTTGCATCCTGCTTCCTCTTATGCTGTGCTGGTGCCTCTGTGCAACCAGCGCCTCTTCCTCCAAACTGCACACATCATTTGCATGACCTTGATGCATTGTCGGGTCTAGGACCTCATCATCCTCTACATCTTCCACCCAATTCTCAACCCTGCCCTCCGTTCCAGTATGCACACTGCAGAAAGCCACAGCAGTTAGCACCTGTGTTTTTCCCAGCATGTAAAGTCTCCAAAGCCATATGGAAATTGTTTTAGAATTGTATCCAGGCAACAGTTTTCCCTATAAACTGACCTCTCAGTTTGACTGTGAGGGTATTGCTCCAGAATTACAATATTGTTTAAGTATCTCTTAGCTATTGATAACTGGTTTAAATATAGCAGCTTGTTATCTGGTAGTTTCTAGTGTAGAAAATATCCATCTGTTTTCTATCACTTAGATCTGTGTAACAAGTGTTGTAGGTGTGAACAATATTACAAGTGACCGATGTATTAAATTCGAATCAAAGTTATGCTTCTATTTGACTCTCAGAAATTAAGAGCAGGCCACAAAATTTACTATTTAGCAGAAAAACAATTAGAATGTTTACAAGTGCGCTGCAAGTGCACTATTTGACTCTCAGATTTGAAGTGCACCCCACTAATGGGGGTTTGCTCAACTCTAATGGTAAGGCATTTCTTTTGGCCGATACTAAAATTTGCAACAGGTTTGCTCTTCAGAAGGATAGATACTTTAGAGAGAGTTCAGAGAAGGGCCACTAAACGGGTTCATGGATTGCAGGATAAAACTTACAAGGAAAGGTTAAAGGAACTTAACATTTATAGCTTAGAGGAAAGACAAGACAGGGGATATGATAGAGACATTTAAATACATAAAAGGTAATCAACAGTAAAGGAGGATACTATTTAAAAGAAGAAAAACTACCACAAGAGGACAGTTTTAAATTAGAGGGGCGAAGGTTTAAAAAAAAAATAATCAGGAAGTTTTACTTAGAGGGTAGTGGATGCATGGAATAGCCTTCCAGCTAAAGGTGGTGGAGGTTAACACAGTGAGGGAGTTTAAGCATGCGTGGGATAGGTATAAGCAGTGGCGTACATACTGCGACCCGACATGTACGCCAGTGTGGCCAGCCTCTTCTCCTGGGGGGGCCCATAAGCTGGATACCATGGAATCCCCTCAGCACTCCCAAAGGTAGGGAGGCTGGGGAGAAATCAAATTTTTTTTTAAAACATGTGTATGTGTGTCCGTGAGTGTGCGTCAGTAAATAGGGGGGCGGATGTGCATGCGTCAGTAAATAGGGGCGGGTGTGCATCAGTAATTCAGTGTGCGTCAGTAATAGGTAGTGATGTCGCGAACCCGAAATTTTCGGTTCGCAAACGGCGAACCGCCCGAAACGCCATTGACTTCAATGGGGAGGCGAATTTTAAAACACACAGGGACTCTTTCTGGCCACAATAGGGATGGAAAAGTTGTTTCAAGGGGACTAACACCTGGACTGTGGCATGCCGGAGGGGGATCCATGGCAAAACTCCCATGGAAAATTACACAGTTGATACAGAGTCTGGTTTAATCCATAAAGGGCAGAAATCACCTAACATTCCTAAATCACAATCAATATGGATTGACACCTGACATATTGACACCTTGACATATGGATTGACACCTGTCCTCAGAGCCCCTGATGCACACGGACACAGAGCAGAATAGAGACTGGTCCCCCTACATCGGGTCACTTGGCAGATATGGATTGACACCTGTCCTAAGGTTCCCTGGTACACACTGACACAGAGCAGAATAGGGACTGGTCCCCCTACATCTGGTCACTTGGCAGATATGGATTGACACCTTGTTACAAAATGCTATTTGTAATGGGCCCTTTAAATGGCAAATTGCCCTGCTTCCCTGGGTTGTGGAGAAGCCTATTTGCCAGCCTCCTCCCGCATGACTATGGCCCCTGGGAGATTGTGAAAATGTATGCACTTTTATTTGGTGTGTATGGCCCTTCAAGACTGTCGGTGGGCATATTGGGGCCATGGACTCCCCTTGTATGCGACTGGTGCTGGCCCTTTAAACACCTTTTGGGACATCAGGAAGATTGGGACACTGCCCCTTTAAGGCCGTGGTCCCTCAGGATCTGTTGGGACACTGCCCCTTTAAGACGGTGTCCCTGTGTCCTCTGTGACTCCAGTAAACCCCTTTGTGCCTGCCTGGCTATTTCCCAATTTTGGTTCTCACCAGTAGTAATGGGAAAATTATTTCCTTAGTTGTAGAGACTAAGTCCCATTCGGCGATGGGACTTAGTCTTTCTTTCAGCCTGAAATAGACCGACCTCACAGCCCAAATCTATGGAACTGTTTTGGGCAGGAAAATGTGCTTGCGGTCGGTCATAAAGGGACCTCCAGCTAACTTTTTAACCCCTGGATGTATTTGGCTGATTTTTGGTTATGTTTATGTTTTAAGTGTGCTGATTCCAAATATATAATTATGAAGATGGGATGTGTAGTTTTAAAGTTACAGTGTATGGCTAAAAACTGTATTTTTACTGCCTGTGTTTAATTATGTTAATCTCTTCCCAAACGCTACTGCTCAAAAGTGGAGGTGGAATGTTAAAAAATATATTTTTGTTCTGGAGTGTGAGAAATGCCAGCCGCTTCTAATCTTAAGCGCATCATTTGAGGAGCTTTCACAGGAGAGAAACCTTATTTGTGGTGTGTTTAGTATTGTTCTGATCAGTTTAATACCTTCCGCGTCTCCTATCAGTGGACGTGTACACGGCATTGATTTTGTAACAGGGAGATGGAAGAAGAGGCTTGGTCGGTCCTCTTACTGCAAATTTGGGGCACTGCGCGGTCAAGCTAATGTGACACCAGATAGGAGTGGTGTGTTTAGTACAATTTTTATCAGTTTAATACCTTCCGCGTCTCCTATCAGTGGTCGTGTACACGGCAGTAATTTCTGTAACAGGCAGATGGAAGAAGATGCTTGGTTGGTTCTCCTAACTGGAGACTGTGTTGCTGTACGGGTGGCAGGTGGAGCCATTTATAAAGTACACACTGCTTTATAAAGCCATTTATAAAGTACACACTGGCGGCTTGAACCCTAGTTGGTGGTAGGATGGAGATCCGCATAAGTCAACAGGCATTCAGAGCTAAAATACAGCAGCGTGTGGACCATTTTTAGCCCAAGGCAGCTCACATCTCATCCAGGCCTTTTTACATAGGGTCACTTGGCAGATATGGATTGACACCTGTCCTAGGATCCCTGATACACACTGACAGAGCAGAATGAGATGTTATTGCCCAACATGGTCACTTGGCAGATATGGATTGACACCTGTCCTAGGGTTCCCTGATACACACTGACACAGAGCAGAATAGGGACTGTTCCTCCTACATAGGGTCACTTGGCAGATATGGATTGACACCTGTCCTCAGAGCCCCTGATACACACTGACACAGATCAGAATAGGGAATGTTACCCCAACATAGGGTCACTTGGCAGATATGGATTGACACCTGTCTAAGGATCCCTGATACACACTGACACAGATCAGAATAGGGACTGTTCCTCCTACATCGGGTCACTTGGCAGATATGGATTGACACCTGTCCTAAGGATCCCTGATACACACTGATACACACCTACTTGGATGGTAGACATTTTTAGCTGCTCCTGGCCCGAACACCTGACCCACATAGGAGCTGTACTAGACCGGATTAGGGAGTCCGGACTGACCCTAAAGCCCAGTAAGTGCCATATAGGAACACGTAAAA